ATGGGCAGAAATTCAAAATAATTGGTTTATGTTCTTGCTAGTTGGCCTCCCTTCAGAAGGCTATTGTTTTGTTTAATTGTGCTTGTGGCTGACTGAGCTGCTACTAAATAGGAATCAGATTTGGGCAGACTACCAGTGTCTCCCAGGTGGATGAAGGAATAAGTACAGCAACTAAACAAAGGCAGAAGAGCTGCTGTCTTCTGATGTGGGATTGTTCTAGCTCCAGATGGTTTTGAAGCAGCTGTAGTTAACATGCTCAAGAGTAGACACACCTGAACTGAGTGCCTGTGGGAGGGGGGTAAGAAAGAGCTCATGAGCAGCTGCTAGGAAAACATTTTGTTTCAGACCATCTTTTCCAGTCCACCTGAAGTAATTTTACATTTTTCAAAATATAAAGTTGCTCTGAAGTTAAGGAAATGTAGGAAACTGCCGATCTCATATGCAAAGCTCCCACATGGTACATGGTGTGATTCTTGGGGCTGTTCTGTGCAGGGACAGGAGCTGGACATTGATGATCCTTTTGGGTCCCTTCCAACTCAGAATATTCTGTGATTCTTTGATGAAACACTGCAGGTAGTTGAGCCCAGGGTGTGCACACAGGTGAAGCTGCAGAACGCCTGCTGTGCCACCCAGTCTGAAGAGTCGCTGGGGTTGTTGGGAAGGGCAGTGCAGCCATGGGCAGCTCAAATACATGGCTCCTGCACACCAGAAAAACACAAGTTGAACAGCAAAGTAGAGCTTGGTGTTCCCTGTTAAACAGCTGCAATAGCATCACATGTGGTCTTTGGGTTCCCACTGCTGCTGTGAGCTTTGCTCTTGATTCCTGTCATTACTCTCTCTTCAGATTTACCCCCAGGAAGGCTGCATTCCCTTTTCATTTAGTAGATTTTGGGTAGCATTTATAGTAAGAAGTTTCTGGTACTGACAGACCTCTCCACTGGGATAGGTATTAGCTTATAAGTTCCCTGCATCGAATTTGTGATTACTGTCCGGAGGATTTCTTATCAATGTGCTTTTTCTTACACAACAAAGCAGAAAGCAAACAAAATTCTCTCTCCTGTATTTGTACAGAATTGTATTGGCCCACTGTCTGGCACGTGGGGTCACAGCTGCAGCAGGCAGGCCTGGCAAAAAGTCCCATTAAGCCACATGTGCCCCAGATGCGTTTCAGCATCCTCGTTCCTATGTCCTTTCATGTTGAGGTGCCTGACAATCTGTGGCACAGAACTGATCACAGCTTTATATCATACTAATAGAGATTGTGTCTAAGGCTTCAGAAAGGATACATCAACACAGTGTAAGGCCCCAGAGGCTCGCTTTGAATTTTATTTTTTTTTAAATTTTTTTGTGTGTATGTGTCTGGGAGCAGTTCATAGACAGCACATGAGATTAACCTATCTGATAGCCAAGGAGCAGCAAACTGCTTGGAGATGAGACCTGACAAACCCTGGCCACGTATGCCTCTGATCAGCATCTGGCAAGGACCATTTTGTGTATGTGCTGGATGCTTAAGAGACAGCTGCCAGTAAAGGGTAAGTAGGACATGTTGGGGGGGGGGGAAAAGAATTACAGTGAGGAACAAGAATCTGAAATCAAATATTTAACAGTCTGTCGCAGTTTAAATGAAACTGGACTGTTTGCTAAAGAGGATGAGTTATGAGATAGACCAAACTCCTCTCTCTCTGCAATTGTAATGTCAAATTAAGGGGCTTTACTCGAGGAAAATGTGAGAAAAAAAAAAAAAAAAAACCAGAAGAAGTAACAACCCTTTATTAAAAAGATATATATATATGTTGGCAAAACCAGTAACCAGAAACAACAATAACAACAAGAATTCTAAATGAATACCCTCCTGTCCCTTAGCACAGTCCCAATTGTGGCCTGCAGGGGGCGCTGTGGAATCGCTGGAAGGTGCAGGACCTGCAGTACC